TGAACGTTGAGAAGGCTTGCCACATCAGTATGTGTATTGCTGGCATGTAGAGATTGATGTGATCCCGGTTAGGAGAAGCTATATGTCGATGTGAAGAACAGCTCTACAACAATGAGAGTCTTCTACTCTGGCTTTTAGCAAACTAGTGGCTACATTGAAGTATACATGTGCATTTGCATGGAAGTTTCAAACGTGTCCACAGTGGCAAAGGTGGCAGATCGGCCCAAGATTAAATCTAAAACATGAATTTTGCATGTTAACGCGTGAAGGCATCCTTGCAGTCTTGTTGTGCGGAAGCGCAGTGTGGATTCTGGCTCCTGAGCTTCGCCATAGAAGTGAGCAGACAAATTCCTCCCCCCAGCCCCAAACCTTGCGTCAGGGAGCTGCATACGTCGGGTCTCAAAGATATTTTGTCTGATTTGTGCAGAGCAGTGACCTTTGTTCTAGCAGTGGGAACCCCGGACTAATTGACTTTGGAATCCTTCACTTCTGTTGGTGACACCCCCTAATAATAGGACAGGTTTGTTAATGGCGTTCGCTGAATGACTATAATATTGGGTTATTCGTCAATGGGATTGGCTTTTTGTTTTTCTTTTCGAGGGGGCACAGGGCATAATTCCGGAGCAGCAGGTGCAATCCGGTGTTTGATGTTTTTTGCTCAAAATGGGTGACTTCCCTTTGGACTCCCTCACAACCCCCAAAACGACCCATTCCAAAAAAAAGGACGTGTCATGCCATGGCTTGGCTCAGAAAACTGAAGTCCCGCAGGAGTGCCAAGTTGACCTGCGTCAGCTTCGAGCTGGGCGTCTCAAAGAGGTGGGGCGCAACGCGACTGGCCGAGTGCCTTGTTTTGGGCTGATTGCTTTGGGAGTCAGAGGTACATCAATCCTGGGGGTCCACAAATGCTGCACGCGCAACTGGTTTTCGATAAAGTCAATGCTCTCGAAGCCAGTTGCGTCGAGCTTGTTCAGTCGCATCATGTCATCATGTCATGCAGCCTTGTTTGGGGTGAGATGTTGATTTGAGACGAGTCGGTTTGGTGGTTGCGTTGTGTCATTTTCTCTGCGTGTGTGTGTCTGTCGCATGGTCGAAAAATCTTCAAGCCGACACCTGCGCGTGGTTTTTGAGCCTGCAGCGCAGGTGCCGGTTCCAGTGAAAGAGGCCAGGAATTGCATGGGGCATGGGGCATGCCTTCCCCCTCTGGTCTGGAAAAAAACTTCATGGCGTTGACATCAAGCATGGTGTTGTTGACAAAAACAATGCGTCCTTCTAAGCGCCAGCGGCACCATGAAGGTAAGACTGGCATGGTTTCCTAGTTTGAGATGGGCCTTCATATGGCCGCTATCTACTGACAACGGTCCAAGTGCTGCGGAAAGGCGCAGAAGCTTGATTCACTTCCCAATTTTGTGAAGTGCAAACCCACGGGAAGACATAAAGAAGCCGGACCTTCTTTCTCAGCCGAACGGCAAGGCACCGGTTGAGCCTGCCGTACTTCCTGCGCCGACAGAGGCTCCTGCCCGGCACTCCAGTGAGGTTGGTTGCGAAGTTTCCCCCCCAGCATGGAGCAGATTGAAGCAGTGATTTGACTCTTTGCTGCTCCGTGTTGCCTACATGTGTCGACGACTTGGCATGTTCTGCTTGAGATTTGAGGCTTCAGGCAATCCTGCTGCATGGCCCAAGGCCGATTTGGTGTTTTCTGCTGAGATCCTGATTTCCCAAGACGACATGCCCCAAGCTCTTTGGTCCAACCTATGGGTCTGTGTCAGATTAGGACCCCCCAATGGATTTCGGTTCTCCTCTTGGATTGAACCAACCTGAAAAGCGAGTACCCTCAAAGAGGACAAGCCCAGATCCAGGATGCGAAGCCTTTCGGACACAGAGTCTGAACTTTATCCGGCTTCCGAGGCATGGGCCGGTGGCGACTGTTGTTCATTTCTTTTTGGAGGGTCCCTTCATCAACTACCAACAGACAGCATGCCCCTTTTTCTGGCATTGGCTGGAGGTGTAAGGGCCAATGGGAAACCAATCCATCCCAGAGTCCCTGCTTTCAACACATCATTTGAATCCACAGAGCTGAGGCGACGTGTACGTCCTTGAAGAACCACGGTTCCTTCAGCTCTGCCAAGGCGCCGTTCGCTGGGCGCTTTTTGTTTGGCCTGTCTTCAATTGGCTGCCCTTTCCGCTTTTCTTGAGACCGTCCGATTTGGCTGCTTCCTTTCCTGCTTTTTCTTGGCCTGGTTTCTTCCCTTCTGTTTTCCGGTTGATTTTTCTGGGCCCCTGCGAAAAGCGCAAAGCATTGCATCTGAATCGACCCCCGGTCACGGTTAGAGTCGGTCACAGACTGCGGCCCGAGGGATCTTCGCAGTGCCACTCCCAGCTGGTTGGTTTTGTTGGCTCCCAGACAAAGCTGAGGCAATTCAGGCTGTCTTCTGTAAGGAATATGACTCATCGCACAGGCTGTGGCTCTAATGTGTGCGCCATGTTGCGCATGTCATGTGTATTTGTGTGTTTGTGAGTGATGCATTGTCGCAGCCAGCTTGCGCCACGTTTTCAGGCTACGCGCCCTTGTGTTGATTGGCCATACTTGCTACTGAAAACAGAGAGTATAAATGTGCCATCAGAAAGTGAGCAGTGCCGAACACAACATGGTGCAACCCCCTTCTGATCCTAACGCCGTGTGTGTTTGTGTGTGTGTACTTGCAAGGGTGAGAGTGGGACTCTGAGTATGTGAATGTATTGGTGTGTTGGGGTAGGGTGTTGGGATGTTCGGGTGTGAGTTTGTCTCAAAATTGGGGGAACCCCAAAAGGCCGGCTTCCTTTTGGGTTGCCGTTAGACACACCCGTGTAGGGGTGTCTAGGGCTTTCGTACTGTTGAGGCATTTGTGAAGAGCCGGTTTGCGGATGGTATCTGTCTCAATATATCTTAACTACATCATGAGATATCTTGCTATTTGTGTTATAGATACATATGTAAAATTTATAGATACATTTCTAATATACATAGATATTGGTGGTTCTTAATGTGTTTCGATGCATTTGCAGATATTTGACATATCTTAGTGCATCTTGAGACATCTTGATATGTCCTAATACATCTTGCGACACATGTGATAGATGTTACTCTCAGCATATATCAACAGGTCTGATATTTTTTGAATAGCCAGCAGTTTTTTGCCTCAGGTGGGCGTCGGCACGCCGCCGCAGTACTTCGAGCTGGTGGCAGACACAGGCTACCAGCACGAGATGATTTCACAGGGACTCGCGGGGAGCACAAACAAGCCCTCAATAAGCCCTTTTTCAGGGCTTATTTGGGCTCCCTCCCCCCTTCCTCCCCCCCAGCCCCCATGATGCTTGCTACCCTCCCCCTGTGGGGTTGAAGGGCAGCCCGTGGAGCAGGCAGCGACAATGTCATCGTGCAGTCGTGCATCTGCAGCTTGGCAAAAAGCGGCGATTCCTATTGCCAAGCAACCCCGAATAGAGGACCCGTGATCCCAATCCGGGCTAATAGCGACTAAGGCCCATGAAGAGTGTTCTTTCTAGGTGCCGTTTCTGGGGGGTCGCCTCTTTGGGGTCCCTGACGCCATGCTGGCAATGCTCGGTGCGCGAGGGGTTGCGGTGCGCGCAAGAAACAACAGGGGGTTGCCGCGTGAGTGTTGCATCCAGCATGCGAAGTCGGTACTGAGGCAAGGACAAGCACTGGTGCCCATCAGAGTTCGGCAAGTGCTTCAAAGGCTAGGACTCCGAGCCGTTGAAAGCTTGCTTCGGTGACACGTGACACCAAAGCATTGTAGGCTCTTCAGCCAACAGCTTTGGCAACTTGATCGAGTCGCTTCGCCCACGAAAAGGATCCTTTGCTCAAGGTGTGCTTTTGGCTGAGCCAAAAGCCCCACGGCGGGCTACTTGTATCAACTCTGGGGCACTGGTGGTACTCCATGTTGGCGCTTTACAAGCTTGCAATGAAAGCACGCCGAAGAAACTTGAGCATCCTCCACTCACCCCAGGGACCATGGTTTTAGACGCCCACCCTGGCCGCAATGGAAGGCACCGGCCGATCCTCGACCTTTAGCATCGAGATGGAGGAGAACGAGGCCAGGGCGGGTTTCGCATCTTCAGGTCGTTCTTGGAAGCCCGAAAGGATTCCAATGATGACTTGGTCTTGAAACACATGGCCATGGGTCAAACGCCAAATCGTACCCCCCAGTGGTTGCATCCCAATCCCCACTAAAATAGGTTCCAAAATGGGTGGTGCACCTAACCAAAATGGTACCATTGGTTTGGCAACCACAGCCACATGTCTCTCCACTTCCAAAGGATCTTCTGAATAGGCGCGCCCTCGGACGACCAAGCCTGGGACTGGAGATCTCGGGGACACCACTGGTCAGTAATAGTGAATCCGCTGGAAGGATCCTCTTTTTGTTTAAGAGATCGTGAGGTGTCCCTTTCAGGTTAGTGTGGTTAGAAATAGATGGCACTGGTTTGGATTGGCTTAGGCCATTTGTTTGTCCAAAAGGTCACCTATGAGAAGGACTCCAGCGCTAGACGTAAGCCCAGAAGTGCTGGCCTACGGCTGCTTCTGCAGGCAAAGCGTGGGAGTTGTTCTTTAAGTCGCACTGATTCAGGACCAGTGGAAAGCGTGAGAGCGGGAGAGCGTCAATTTGTAACGCAGAGGCCAATGCAAGGATATGGCTGTGGGTCAAAAATAGGCGCCCAAAATGGAACCCTGGTACATGGAAACATGGACTAAAACCTGCGGTCCCCTGGTGGTTTAATTTTGACCCATACCCATATCACAATGTGTGTTGGTAGATACTGGGTTCAAAAGGTTGGATACACAAATACATGGTGAGCACACATCTGGGGAATCCAGCAAGAAGATTCTCGTCGCTGGCTCTTTTCTCAGCCTCAGTGGAAAGTGGTATGCAGCTATTAGTCAGTTGCCAACTTGGGAGTGGACAGCTGCAGTCATCCTTTTAGGTCAGCATCATCTTTTGACACGGCGATTAGATCTGCGTACCCGTGCTCGGTCCTTAATTGGTCGCCATGCAGTTGATTTGGTTCTGCTTCTTCTTGGCTGCGAAAGCAGAGCTTTCGGACATCCGGCAGCAAGCTGCATCCATCAAGGAAGAGATCCGGGAATGGCGGCGAGAGCTGCACCGCTGGCCGGAGTTGATGTATCAGGAGCACAAGACTTCACAGGTCGTCCAAGATGCCTTGAAAGGCCTGGGCATTCCGTTCACCAAGGGCTGGGGCAAGAACACCCGGCAGAACGCGTCCCGCCCCATTCCCGGCCCTGGCGGCACCGGGGTAGTGGCAGAAATCGGCTCCGGCGCTCCGGTCGTTGCGCTGCGCGCAGACATGGATGCCTTGCCCATCCAGGAGGAGACCCCGGTGCCCTACCGGTCACAAAACGTGGGGCGCATGCACGCCTGCGGCCACGACGGCCACACCTCTATGCTCTTGGGAGCGGCCAAGCTGCTGAAAGCCTCGAAGTTCCCAGGCACAGTGCGGCTGATCTTTCAGCCCGCGGAGGAAGGGGGCGCAGGCGCCAAGCGCATGCTGGAGGAGGGCGCCATGGATGGGGTGTCCAGGGTCTCTTGATTGCTATTCCGTTGGATCTTTAGACTTTAACATGTTGGTTGCAATCAAGGGGGTTTCCACTAAACCCCCACCAGCTTTTCACTTTTTGCCCTCTGGGGTCGTTCCAGCAAGGTCTTTGGTCTGCATTTGTGGCCAAATCTTCCCAGCGGAACCTTGGGCGGCCGGCCGGGCACCATCCTCGCGGCGGCGGACTTTTTCGAGTTCCAAGTGCTGGGCAGCGGCGCCCACGGCGCCATGCCGCAGCTGGGCATCGATCCCATCCCCGCAGCGGCCGCCATCGTGCAGTCCCTGCAGACCATCGTGCCACTCGATGCGAAGCGCACCGTTTTCAGACAACCTTTGAGTTGCCACCCGGTTTTGGTCCATGTTAATTTTTTTCCCCTTTGGTGCGTTGAAGGTCCTTTTTGGCCCATGTGTAGTCACTGCACAGATGACCTACCCCGGAAAATGTTTGGGTCCTGAGGTCAAGGGAGACCGACCCGCTGGGTGGCGCCGTCATCAGCGTCACCAAGTTCCTCTCCGGCGACGCCTACAACGTGATCCCGGGCGTGGCCACCGTCGGCGGCACCATGCGGTCCATGACCTCTGACGGCCTGGCGATCCTCAAGCAGCGCTTGCTGGAGGTGGGCGAAGGGCATGTCGTCTTTTTTGAAGGCGAAGGGCATCCCTGGTGGTTGGTTCCAAAGGGAAACCAACCGCAGATCCCCTAAAAACCACAAGTCGCAGGTGGCGGAGAGCGTGGCAAAGGCACATCGCTGCAGAGTAGAGAATGCCACCTTCATGCCAGACCCCTTTCCTCCCACAGACAATGATCCGCAGCTCTGGCGCTGGCTGGAGTCCTCTGCAGGCCTGGACGCGCCGAAGCTCTGGGACATGCCCGCCACCATGGGCTCCGAGGATTTCGCCTTCTTCTCCGAGAGGGTACCTGGAGCCTTCGTTCTGCTGGGCCAGGGCACGGGGCAGAGCAGCTACTGACGCGAATGGAAAAACTCAAATAAACGAAAGATGTTTCCCCTTTTGGTCTATTTGTTAGTCAAGGGTCCACAGGTGAACCTGTTTTTTCCAGGGCCTGGCAAGTGAGGTTATACCTTGGCAGACTCTGGTTACTCTGAGACTGTGCAGATCCCCACCAATACGACGGTGCACAGCCCTTTCTTCCACCTGGATGAGGATGTGCTCGAGTTGGGCGCTGCACTTCACGTGCAGATGGCGCTATCATCATTGCAGGCGCTCGCATCACCATGATGCAAGTGCCGCCCCCTTAATCGCTGCAGTTGGTATTTGATCATGACTGATGTTTGTGATTGTTCACCAATGTTTTGTGTAGGTACTTGACCATGATGCAGATTTAGCCCGGCCCAGCACAGTAAAAAGAAGAGGAAGGCGAGAGAAGAAGATACCGATCCAACAGTACTCCGTCCTCCTGCGCTGTCTATGTGCCACATGCCAGGTGGGTCAGGAGGGCGTCACCGGCTTTGTCATGTCCTTTGGCATGCGCCTGAGGTTTGCAAATCGAAGGCTTCAGCTTCAGCACAAGGGGCAGCATGTGTAAGACCAGAAAGGACCAGCATGGCATTCGCTGGACATGTCCATGAAAATGCGTTAAGCGCCAGTGAGCACCGCAATTCTGCCAAGACATGAGCTTTACTCAAAACCGTGGACAATTTGGTTGGTAATATGTAAAGGGAGACCAAAAGGACACCAACTCCATTTTAGGGGACTGGATCCTATTTTTTGGAAGATGGATCTGGCGCGTCAAGTTCCGAAAAGGCGGGGCCGGATCGAGGCAGCGGCGACATCCTCGTGATCAAGGCCTCGGATAGAGTAGAGGTTGGCACAGCAGCGGCCTTCATGAGCCATGGCCAGTGGGGGATATGGGGTTGGGGGTTGGAGGGGGGGTTGGCAGAGGCAGGGAGGGGGGTTTGGGGGTTGGCACGGGTTTGAGGGAGGGGTTTGGGGGTTGGGAGGGTTTGGCAGGGGTTTGGGGTGGATTTCCTACACGTGCTCGAGCACTGGGACGTCACAGACACGATGAAACCATTTGCTATTGCGGGAGCATGTTGCGAGGCAATGTGGCGGTATTTTTCAGGCATTTCGGAATCTTCTCATGCAGCGAGAACCTGTGACACTGTTGGCTTCTTGCAGGGGAAGGCCGAGGAAGCTTGCGCAAAGAGGTCGAGAGCCGCCGAGCATGCAGACGCTGCGCGCGGGCTGACTGTGGAATTTCCGGGAGAGATGGAAAGGAAGGACGTCAGGGGCAGGAGCGCTTGAAGGCAGACGCGTTCTACCGCTATTCCCGATGAACATCAGCAACGTCATGGGCGGCGGCCGCCAACGAAGCGCTGCGCGAGCGATTGAAGGCATCGCAGCGGCATTGCTTGGGAGGCGTTTGGCCCTGGCGAAGCTTTTGCCTTATTACTGCACACACGAGCATTGCGCAGCGCAGTGACGCAGATATTTTTGCGCCTGCTGCAAGGCGAGCTTTGCCAACGTCACGTGGGCAGCCGCGCGCCGCAGCTCAAGAGCGTGGCCTCCCGGCGGAGTTGCCGAAGCCCTTGCCGCGTGAGTGTTGAGCAGGCGGCGGTGCTCACAAGCTCCGGTCTGCCAAGCAAGCACGCAGCTGGCAGATGGAGGTGGCGAGGAGGAGGACGCCGCCAGGATGCCGGAGAACCGGAGCCGACAAGCTCACGATGTTCGCCCCGGCTCCCCAAGTTAAAGGCGCGTTTCCAATTCATGGGAGTTTTACACGACGACGAATGATCGAGCGCCCTTCAACATCACAAAAAGATGCAATTTGTTCCACGCTCTCCATACCTCGCGCGTTGTCTCCGTCTACCCCACTGCCATTTGGAGAAAAACACGTGCGTCGAGCTGAATCCCTGTGGAAGTCTTGCTGAGTAGGCTGCTGCAAACGTGGCAAGCTTCGAGGAGCTGGCCTCAAAGACGAGCCAAGTCTTTCCACAGCTGCGAGTGGCTGCGCCCTTGCAAAAACGGCTCGACACACATGCTTCCCATTCCTTCGGCAGCCGCTCGCGATCGCAGCGCACTTGAGATGCGCAACGCGCGTCGCACGTGAGTTCGTAGGACGGTGTGTCCAGGTATCCTTGAGATGCCTTTGGCCTGGCGTGCGAACACTGTGAGGCAATGCAATTTGCTCTTGCAAAAATTGTGCCCTTGCTGCGCGGGACGAGTTCTAGCTCTACTCCCAGAACATGGTGGGTTGCGCTTGGAAATTGTTGGGGCTTTTTCTGTAAAGCAGTTCAAGGAGTGCCTAGCCCGTCCCTGCCGAAGCTGCTGCATGCGCTGCAGCGATGTTCTTTCATGGAAAAAATCAATGTGGCGTCCTTTTTTCGGGCAAAGCGCAAGGCACGCATGAGAAACCAACTTCTGCAGACACCCACTTGGAGCAAGAAGTGCTTCGCAGGGTCACGAAGCCTTCTCCAGCCACCATCACATCTTCTACATGAAGTATTCCGCGGGTTGGCCCTTGCGCCGCAGCGGGCGAAGTGGACGCTTCGCCGCCGCGCTTCCCTTTTTGTGAGTCCAGCGCGTTTTCCTTCCTCTCGACCTCGCGCGCAAAGAGCTGCCTGCCCGGCGCAAAACCGAGGTCAAACCATAGAGCTTGCCAGCAAAACTGCAACATTCAAGCATGATTTTCTGACCCCACCAAAAATCCGCACATCTACAGATGTCGGTGGCCTTCAACCTCAATCCTTCGATCTGCAAAAATCAGCCCAAGGTTTGAAGACTTAGGGAAGTGTCCATGCCACGCGGGTAGGGACGGGGGTTGGCAGGGGTTTGGGGGTTGGGGTGGGCTTTGGGAGGGTTTGTGAATCCCTTGTCGGTCCCCAGATCGGTGAGACCGGGTGTGATACGAAAGGGGTGGAAGGGTGCTTGTGCCATGAATGCTGCTTAACAATCAGACAAATAGTCCACAAGCTACAGCCGCTAGAGTTTTGACCAAGTGACATGATGTTGGACAGACGGGGTTGAAATTGGATGAAATTGGGTTTGTGCCCCATGTCCTTTGTGGGCTGATTTACGGTTGGAATCACTCAACATCAAGGGCTGCGACATCCGCATTGGCCCAAGATGGCCAAAGCGGTGATTTCACGTGTAGCATCTCAAGGTTCGAGCCGATCCACTCTGTGGCATTGCCTTTACGCGTGCAACCTACGCACCATGGAATTTCACGCCACTCGACCAAGGAATGAGAGTTTGCTGCTCATGGTGAAGCAGGACAGAACATTGTGCAGGTTGTCATTGAAGCAGACGAGTCGTGTTTGCCATCTTAAAGTGCGGGTTGACTTGACGCTCGTTTGGTTTAAAACCAATAAGGTTGTTTCTTTCGAGTCGGCTTCGCTCGGAATTCGCCGGTTCTTCCTTTTTGGCGATTCAAAGGACTCTCCCAGAGCATGTCATTTGGCTCCATGGTTTTTGCTGAAACCGGCAATTAAACCACTTAAACCACTGCACCGGCAAGGCTGTGGCGCATGTCTTTGCTCCGCAGGAGCTTTCGATTCGCGGCCAGTTTGAGGGCATCTTAGGCCTCGGCAGGCCGGGGAACTGGTGAGCCTAGGGGGACGAGCCCGATTTGTCCCATGCGCGTTGGAGACCAGTAATTTGAAGGCTCAGGTCAAAACGGTCAGCCCTGGATACCGCTTGAATCCACCACACCTCTCAAGAAAGTGGGTCCGAGAACTTGCGGTTTCACGTGAAAAACCACCACCAAAAAGTGCGTACCAGCTCTAAGAAAGGACGCAACCAAGGCGTCCCATTGCCCCTGGGGGCCTTGGCCACATCGCGTCAGGCCTCATAGGTCGGAGATTGCCGACAAGCAAGTGGATGGCTTCCTCAAGAAAGCAGGCCTGGCACCCGGATTTTCGGATCTTTAGACCTTAACTTGTTGGTTCAATGTTGATGGATCTTCCAGATTGAACCCACAAAAAATAAAAACTTTTGGCAGAAGGGTCAACAGCAAGAAAGACGCTGCGTGAGACATGACAAGCGCCAAGTATAATAGGCAAGCAGCTTCTGTTAGTCACAATTTATAATCCTCTCCGCATAGCGAAGGGCTGAAAATGGCAAGAAAAAAGTCACCGTTGTTCTTGTTCTTCAAGACACGCCCCGCTCGACCGTTCACGGTCCATTCTTCCAAAGCTTGTTTCACTGCTTTGGGTTATGGTTTCCGATGTTTGAGTTTGGGGGATTTTTGTTTCACAGCGACAAGCGCAGGCATCGAGCGTTTTTCGATGTGCTTCAATCAAGAAGGCCCAGGCGGGGCATTCGGAAGCTACAAGATGCCTACTGTAGATGGGCGAAATCCATGTCGCACCATTTTGAAACCACAGCAAACCGGTGTTTGTTGGTATTTACAGGGGAATCGAATCGTATCATTCCTAGGGTTTGTTAGTTAATGCAGGATTTCGTCCATCCACGGCATTAGATGTGTGGCAGCTCAACCCGCGCCTTTAGCGAGGAAACACGACCCGAGACCATGAGCACTTTGCCGCATCTTTTGTTGCACCATTTTGCACCCCACATGCCTCCAACAGACCACACGATTTGTTTATGCTACATATATGTATGGCGCATAGTATGATATACTATGTATGTCGGTATGTATAGTCTCATTTGTACATAAATGCACATACATGCACCTGGTTGGTCAACTCCAGATCTCAGCCCGGTCCATGGCAGCCTTAAAGCGCGCGCTTTTTCGCGCGCCCAGCCCGGCGGCTTGACTTGAGGCGTGCTCGGGGTGAACGAGCCGAGTGCGAAGGAAGCCCTGCAGAGCGTGGGGAGCGTGCACTGGGGCCTGGACTTCCGTGGCATCTCCGCCCCCCGTCCGAACGGTTCGGACGGGAACCGGGAAGCGTTCCGTTTCGGGATTGGACCGGACGTTCATGGACTTGAGCCACTTGGGTTCGGACCATTTGAGTGGTAAGCAAAGCTTCGGTGCATTTTGCTTGGATGTTAGGACTTTAACTTCTACTCAACTAATGAGTTTTCCGTATTAAACCATCTAAAAAGTTAAACTTTTAGCGGAGCAGAAAGCAAGCGAGAAAAGGTTTGGGCACTGGCCAATCCACTCAGGAAGTGAGCACACAGTGCCATGAAATCGGACATTGCGGGATGGGTTGGACGACTTTCCTTTAAAGGGAGCCTGTGGTAGGTTCCAAGGCAATGTGGACAGGGTAAAATCTCCCTGAAATTGTTTGGTTGTCGCATGTGAGAGAGAATCTTTTACATTAGCAAGTTGTTTAGTGGAGTCTCCCCTCTAAATCCCTATTTGTTGGTTCCCCGTTCAGAAGGAGCCCGAAAAGGGTTCCCCCCATGATTTGTCTACCTTTCAAACGGGTCACAGGGCACAACTGGGTAATAGCCAGACCAAGCCTTGTTGGTGTGCTGTGTGGCTGAGATGGTTTGGCTGTCAATGCTATGCAAGATTGTGAGAAATGCCGTTCATGTAGTTGTTGGCATTTGTTTGTCAGCAAAAGTCGGCGCGGGTGATGCTTGTTTTGCCACAAATGCGTTGCCTGTAATGCCGAGCAGGCAGCTAGGATGTCATAAGTGGTTCATTCCGCTGATGTGTCCAAACGGCACTAAGTCCAGAAATTGGGTCCCCAAAGGACTGCGCACTGAATTTGGGAACAGCATGTCAGTATCTCTTCCTTGCTTGCGTTTTTTTGTTCTTTGCTTTGCTGCCTTTCTTGCTTCCTTGCTTTCTTGCTTCCTTGCTTCCTTGCCTCCTCGCTTCCTTGCTTCCTTCCTTGCTTTGCTTGCTTTCCTTGCGATCCTTGCTTTCCTCGCTTTGCTTGCTTTGCTTGCTTGCTTTGCTTGCTTGGCTCGCTTGCTTGGCTCGCTTGCTTGGCTCGCTTGGCCGGCTGGCTGGCTGGCTTGCTGGCTTGCTTCGCTTGTGGTTTAGTTGGTTGTCTCTTGTTTTTGGTTCTTGACATGCGCGAAAAGGATCTATGTCGTTGGCAGGCAGCTCTAGGCATGTTTCAGTTGATGAAACAGGCATGGCAGTTCAATACATTTGTGTGGGACAATTCCAGCTTTGCAACAGCTCAACACGCGCAAATGCCTCAACTTCATGAATGTGATGCATACTGGGGCATCAAGCGTCCGGAGCCTTTATGCATATGGCCATGGGGCATAACCTATGGACCCATTGTCGGGTGGATGAACACCAGGGGTACAGGGTGTTGACCCACAGCCATATGAGCGCAATGTCATGGACACTGGGCAGTGAGTTGCCTCACCGGGGCACTTGCATCTAGGTTACCCAGTAGTGCCCTTTTACCAACTTTTTTGGGGGAGGGTTCCCTTACTCAAATAGACTGCAGAACAAAGAGTACCCTTATTCTAACCTCTCAAATCTGGAGGACCTAGGCATGATTTCCAGGCGGTCTTCCGATGTGGTGCGTTCAAGTCGGAGTCGCTGTAAGCTCCCAGGTGGGGCAAGACACGCAGAACTTGGACTTCTGCCAGGCTTGGATGCGGAAATGTCTTGTTGCTGTGATATGGGTGTGTACCCTTTGGGCCCTAAAGGTAGTTCGAAGGGAAACCTACACAAAAGCTGCCATGTTGGGGATCCCCAATTTGTTCGAAACAAAAGTTTCATGGACACTTTATGTGCGTCGCGGCCATTTGCTTAGTTCTTAACTCAGTGCTACCCAGTGAAGGGAGGCACGTGGTGAATTGGCGCTCAGGAGAAGGGACCTGGCATGGACACGGCCTGCGGGCTGATCCCTGACTCAGGCTCGGCGTTCGGCGAGAAATCGGTTGGCAGTCTATGTGTGTTTTCTTCTCAAGGGGGCAAACTTTGCTCAGCGGAACGTGCCTCCAGCGAATGTGGCATGGGATCGATTGCACCTGAGTTGCGTCGCGCACTTCCTTGATGTTGCTTGCGCTTCCGTGCAGGAACCACGCTCATCACTGGCTTTGGTCCCAGCAGCCGAGTGGGAGTGGGAAAGGAAAGAAGGAAGGAAGGAAGGAAGGAAGGAAGGAAGGAAGAGCAAGTCTGGATCTGTGTGCAACAGATCTCGTATGTTCGAGGCAAGCTTTGCGATGTTTCCTCGCACAAAGTCATGCACAACGATGCATTTATGTTAACGTATACACAAATTACGTAGTACGTATAACATACGTGTTACATGCGCATACACATGCATTACATGCAATTGCTGACACGCGCGGTATGTCACATTCCCGAAGAGCAGGTCCCGCGGATGAGATTGAGAAGCTCTACGAGGGCATCTGCCGACAATGGCCGCGATGCCTGCAGATGCACGAGGCCATGGATTGAAGCGAGCCATTGGCGCCAGTGGCCCAGGAGTTCCAAGGGAAGGCTAGAGATGATCTATTTTGTATTCCGACCAGGGGCTTGGAGAAGCAAAGCCAAAGCAAAACTTCGATTCATCCAGGGCCTCAAAGGCCCCACAAAAAAATCCAGGGGCCCCCCTTTAGGGGCCCCGAAATAAAAGTTATCCCAGGAAAGACAGGCTCTGGTCGCTGGGACCTTTGGGGCGAACGGATCGGTCCTCTGGTTGAGCTGCCGGTCTGTCGCAGGCGTTGCAGGCGGAAGTCGACAAAGTGAGGACCAGGCCGGCGGCTGGCGGCTGGCGAGTTGAGACCGTCGGTTCAGAGAAGTGTCGGCTGAGCATCTTCCCAGATCCAGCGTCTTACTTGCCAGTTGTGCTACTTTTAGAGACAGGATGCATGCAGTTGAGCGAAAATTCCCTACCAAAGTTAAAGTGAATGTGGTTGGTCCCAAGTGGAGTCAGAAAATGGAAACACCCTCTTGAAGGTTCCTGAGAATGAAAGGGATGCGCAGAAGCCTATATTGGAAGCAGCGAACAGTTTCGTTGAAAGCTGCGACGGCAAGCATCTCACCGTATCTCACCGTGGGAGCAGCTCAAGCAAAGCGTCGGATTTTTGGCTCGCTTTGACCATTTTGCAACAAGCCCTGGTTGAAAACAGGCTGGTGCGAGAGATGCAGGGGCCCTGAGAAATGGCGGTCTGACCCCGATTTCAAGCCTCCAACTGGTTCATTAAAGGGAATCCCTCAGGTTCATTCCACTTGCTTTAAGGGAATTTCCTTTAAGGGAATCCTCAGGTTCATGCCATTTTTCATTCCCTACCTATCGCACCAGCAAATGAAAACAGGCTTAAGCCGCTGCGTTTCATGCGGCCAAGAAGCACCAGAGGCATCTCCGCAGGCTTTTGCTTCGCCGCTTTGCCCGAAAAAAGTCGCAGGAATGCGCAAGCTACTCGGCGGGTGGCCATGCAACGCATGCGAGCCATGCTGCAGGTGGGCAAAGTGGACGGGGCGAGCTATCGTTGGGTAGGAGGACAGCAGGGTCAGTTTGGTGAGATTTCATTTTATGTGTTGAATGGCAGGTTTGGCAGGGTCAATTGTCACACTTCTTGAAATGACAATTCCCGAAAGCGTTGCGAAGGGTGTATCTCGAGGATTTCTTCCGCTGGATACTCTTGCATTGTATTATCTTACACAAACTTACTCAGAGAAACCCTCAGAACAACTTTCTCAAAGAACTTGATAAGAGAGCTCGCGCAATCTCGCGCATAGAAACTTGCTCACATAATTTGCACAGAGAAGTTGCGCAGAGACACTTGCTCGGAGAATTTGCTGTTTTGTTTCGCTCACAACTCGGTCAACTATACTTTCGGGTCACTGATGAGTTTCGCTACAACTCTAGTACCAAAAAGTCACAGTCCCGGGTATGCGCTTTCACTTGTGAGTTTCTAGAGGGATGGGTTGTGAACATCTCTGTGGCGAACCAAGACAGCAAGCTTTTATCCTCGTGCTGTATGCGTCAAAGCGGGGAATGAACTCACGGGACACAGGAGCTGTCAGAATTAGTAAGGAGGGATGTCCATGTGGAGAAAACACTGTTTCAAAGCTCTTAATGTTTAAAGGATGTGGCAACGTGTCAATTCCCCTGACAGCGTGGTGTTTGGATGTCACAAGATAATGACGGACCCAGCAGCATGCAAATATCTTGGCACGGTTTAGATACATATTAGCGAGACTCCAAACTGTTGACACTGCGACCTGTGTTGTTAGAAAGAGGAGAGCTGTCACACGCCAGCTCTGAAAGCGCCAGGCGGGCAATGCGAAGGCGAAGCAGCCAGACTACGAAGCTGGATACGACTACGAGTATGACAGACCGGTGTACTACGCGCCTGAAGGCTACGAGGGGCCGGAAGACTATGGGCCTGGGCCAGACTACGAGGGGCCGGAAGGCCCGGAAGGTCCTGGGCCAGAAGACTACGAGGGGCCGGGGCCAGGTTACGAGGAGGGGCCAGGCTACGAGGGGCCAGAAGACTACGGGCCTGGGCCCGTGGAGGAGCGAGGCTACTACGCGCCAGTGGGCGAGCCTGTGGAGTATGGCCCCGGACCTATGGAGCCTATGGAGCCTATGGACTATGGCCCAGAGCCCATGCCGGCGTACCGATCTCGGCCAGACTCTGAGTATCCTGAATACGAGGGCCCACCCCTGGAGGGTTTTCCTCCACCACCTGTTGGACCAGATGGGGTGCCCATTCCCTGGGGCCCTGGTCCAGTAGAAGTGGGGCCCGGCTGGGGGGGGCCACCTCCGCCCCCGGCGGCCCAGCCCAAAGCGAGGTCCTCCTGGGGCGGGCCGCCGCCGCCGGGAGATCGGATGCTGGAGCCTGGCCAACCCACGCCCAGGTGGGGCGGGCCGCCTGGCCCAGAGCACGAAGCCCCAGGTGGGCCAGGCTTGGGAGCGGGGCCAGTTGAAGCAGGTCCAGCTGAAGCAGGCCCAGCTGAAGCAGGCCCAGCTGAAGCAGGCCCAGACGAAGCAGGCTGGAAGTGAGTGAGAGAAAATCCTGCGGCCTCATTCATGTTGGAAGACTTGTTATGTACATTCTAGCGTGCAATCCTTAAGCAGACCTCCCCGTTTTATCACGAAGGCTTGACTGCTGCAATGAGGGCCCGACGCGCGCCTCAGGCGATGGCCCGGACATCGTCGTGACCGGCGAGGAGCAGGAGGCAGAAGACCCGGACGCGGATGACATGCCGGAGGCCGCCTGAGCATGATCTCATACCAAAGCTGTCACAAGCTGCATTCCCACATCCAGGAAGCACAGCCAATTGTTGCAATTCGGAGGCAGAGGGAGGGAGGGCAGCCATCCTTGCCAGGGCATGTTGCCAAGTAGAAGTACAAAGTATCACGCATTGTTGTTCTGCTCCCACATCGCAATTACGAGCACTGCCCCCCGGAGGCCATCACAATGGCATCTACGCTTGCCTTGCTGATGAAGATGCTCGGCTGCTAATGGTGTCAATCCAGGAAGCTGCAACTCTCTTGACGCGTTGTTTGAACTTTGGCTTTGTCAGCCCCCACCCCTCGCTCTCCCTACCGCTCCCCCTCCCTCTCTCGCTCTCTCTCCCTCTCTCTCCCTCTCTCTTTCTGTCCCTCCCCTTCTTTCTGCGTTTCTTGCTTGCTTGCTTTCCTTTGGCTCAGAATATACTGTCTTTCCTAACCACCCCATGTGAGCATCAACTGTGCGATGCTGGACAGTTCCTTTGAACGGGCCAGCGCCGTTGTTTCGTCAAGGTGATCATTCAGCTAGCCCTTGGTGATTGGGGGGGGGTTGAACCCCTTGGCCCTTGGCTTGAGGGTTAGACAATGGGAAGCCCTAACCACCAAACCCCCAATGAAAGAGAAGCTGCCATCCTGGAACCAATAGTCGAGTTTCGGGCCAAAAGCCTCCACTTTGAGACTTAAGGCCAAGTGTTTACTCCTGCAACTGAGACAAGAGCTCTGGTCCGCCTTTTGTCCTCCAATCTCCCTGCCATTCACACTGATTTTCATTGGGAAGCATCAGGAGGGCCCAAATGGCTTGGTGTCACCAGAGTCGGTTTGGTGGATGTTTGTTTTGAAGCGGATTGGCCGAACATGACGGCGCAGGCACTGCTACACCTGGCTGGGTGCGGGGACCTAGGTCCCAGATAGAGTTGCGGTCAGCCACAGAAAGTGCAAGGCTCCTTTGAAAGTGAGTGCTTCTTTTATTTCGAGGACTCCCAAAATAACTGGTCCGTGTGGTGTCCCTTCAAAACCTCACCAAAGGGTACTGTCAACAATAACTGTTGAAGTGTTCTTTGATCAAGTTCTGTGTCAGGCAGCGTTCAGCTTTGCAAGGCTGAGAGAGGCTATGTCCAGTCTAGATGCCCCTACAAACGCCACTGGCACAAGCTGCAAGCCCAGGCAATTCCACCGACTTGGATGCGGAGATGCCTCCTTTGTCCTTCCATGTGGCTGGCACAGCTGGAGGAAAAGAGACGTGGCTCGGCAAAGCCAACGAAGCCCGGTCGTGCTTGCTGGTGCAACCACTCGCTTTAAGTCGTATCACCCAGAAGCAGAAGAAGCAGAAGTCGCGAGAAGTTGCCCATGGGACTTTGCTCAAAAGTGGAGTTTTGAAGGGATGTCCGAAGTGGTTTCGTTGCGGATCACGTGTGTGCCATTGGCTTTCGTTGTCGAAAGCAATGTGTCAAGGGATGTTGCACTGCTGTAGTGCTTGAGCTTGTCAGGCCGTGGGGCCTTGCTTTCAAGACAAGGTTTGCAATGTCCCTTCCATCGGGGGTTTGTGGTTGGTCTTGTGTGCCAATGGAGGCCCTATCATGGTAGTGGCGGATGTAGAGCCTGATTGGGTTTTGCATCGAAACATAATTCGCAAGGGATGATTCGCGGTCGGTTGTGGGTGGTTCTGTGAGCCCATCGGATTTTGCTTCACGCTCGCAAGGGACGTCCTGTCATTATTTTGCAGTTTTCTTTTTCCCCCACTACGGACGTTTCAAGCTGGTGACGAACTATGCGACGGTTGCTGCAGGATCTACTGTTGGGCGCATGATTTTGGCCCAGTTCAAGCAACTGAAGGATAGCGCAGTTTCGTTGTGTTGAACAATCTGGGTTTGCCTTCTGTGATGTGACTTCCTCCCGACTGATGCAACGTGGGTCCATCTTGCAGTGCCATGCAGTGATGTCATGTGACTTCCCGCGATTGACTCCCGATTGTTGCTGAACGCATTTGGCCACCGCTCGCATGCAGGGTAGTCCTGAACCCCAACTCCTACGTCTTCTTGAGCACGGTGCCCATCGTGCATAAGGAGATCGAGTACTTCTTGGGATACCTTCCTATGGAGATTGTGACCGTGAAGAATGAGCATGCACCTGAGCTGCATGTAGCCAGTACGAGATTCCTCCAGCCAGGGTGGTGTGTGTTGTGTTGCCACACAAAAACGGGCGGCCTATGGCGGTTCGAGGTCAACACCTGGCCACAGGAGGTTGTTTATTCTTTCTGGCAAGGGGTTCTCGCCGGGATGTGCATAGCCGCCCATAGAAAGGACCACAGACTCAACAAGGCTCTAAAGTGACCCAGCTGGCTGTTTGCCATGGGCAGGGATTCTGCCAGGCTGTGCTGTTGCACCAGCGACCTGGATTGGCCCGTAATTACTCCGAAGGTCCAAGAATGGGAACCATCTGCCTGAAAAAAAAGCCTCCAGCTTTTGGGCAGTCCAGATGTGGCTGCCAAAATGGCCCCCTTGGTACATGGCAAGACTAAAACCTGCGGTTTGCCCTAGCTCTTGAGTTTTTGAGCCACATGTGCTTTGCCGATTTAGGTGTGCCTGCCGGCCTTTGGCCCAATGGACTACAAGACTCAAAAGAACGGCACCTCGCCGACAAAAGATGCTCGACTGGTGGGCTGTAGGCCTCCAGTTGCTTAAGAATATGTGTTACTTTCCCTTGTTGGTTTTAAGGGGAATCTAGCACTACTGGAAATATGTTCTTTTTTTGGTTGCAGGGGGCTGAAGCAAATGGAAGCATATGTCCATGGCTCACAAGGGGTCACCCGACTCGAAGGCAAAGGTTCATCCATGGGTCTAAGAAAGACGGAGCTGGCTTCAATTGCTGGTCTGCCTACCAGGCAAATCAATAGGGATCTGAGCCCTTCAAAGACGGCCCTTTCGCAGCATGCCGCTCAGGACCTGTCTGGATCATGGGAACTCCCCTCTTCTACTCCTACAAAGTCCAGTACGACCGTGAGCCAGAGCCGCTTCGGCCGAACCCGTAGAACCCAGACACCCAGAATCTCAGAATGGGATGCTTCCAAGGTGATGATGCCAACTCTTCCGACCGCAAAGCAAATGATACTAAAAGTGACAGATGTGGAGCTCACTTCTTTGGGGGGAAGTCACCAATGCCACCCAGAAGTGTTGATTTCTCTCAGATAATGCAGATACGTCTCGGGATCTGGAAGGTTCAACATGTTTGTGTTCCTTTGGCTTTATTTTGCACCCCACGAACGGACCTGCAACATTACTGCTTTCCTTTGGTTTTTCTGTTCACCCCATGGAACCTCCAAAATGACTGTCTTCCTTTTGGTTGTTCTTTGCACCCCATGGAACCTCCAAAATCAGTCATTTGTCCTGCTGGGTTTTCTTTGCACCCCCTGGAACCTCCAAAAATTCCGTTGTTTTTTCCTGTTTCTGTCCCTTGCAAAACGTGGCGAGTCACGAGTCAGCGTGCCACGAAACCGTCGGAGAGGCCGCCCACCATGAGCTTCCAGAAGGGCGACTGCGGTGTCTGCGTGAACGGCACCGAGGTGAAGCCCGGGGGCCCGGCGATGAAGATGTCGATGTACGGGTCAAAATGAAACCACCAGGAACTGGACCGCAGGAATTTTGGTCTTTGGTTCCATTTACCAGGGCAAGCCATTTTGGGTACGCATGTTTGACCATAGCCATTTCGAGTCAGCTGCGTGAGAGAAGGAGGTCCGGTTCAAGCCAAAGTGGCCGGCATTCTGAGGAGTCCTCCAAACTAACCAGTGGGTTGCCTCATGTCAAAAGAATCCGCAGATGTCCTTTTACCACCATTAGGAGGATGTCACGTGTTTTCGGGGAAAGCCAAAGCTGGACCCGCTTATGTTGAAGTCCAGTCAACGCATTTGCTGGGCTCCAGAAGCTTTCAGCTGCCAATGCCAGGCCAGGCAAGGCGAAAGGCATGCAATGCTCAGGCAACAGATCTGCCGAAAAGGGTCTTGACCGCAGTCTTGACATTTGATCCCCAGGTTCAGGGCCTGGCGAATTGATCAAGGGCCGGTGATAGCAAGGAGCAATGCAACTCCAATGTGATGGGCGTGGTATATTTTTTGAGTACCTTCTTCAGGCTGGTCTACCCTCCCGCCAATTCACACCGAACCTGACAGGGGGTCCCTGAAACACATGTTTTTCCTTTTTAAGGGACAGCCTGGTAGGGTCCAATGTGAATTGGTGGGAGGGGTAAATAGCAACCAGAAGGAGTGGAGCCATGTGCAGGGTCCAACTAAATCGTCAAACATCTTTCGGAGCTCAGGCAGGAAGCGCGGCTCCTGCAGACAGCCTCAGGCATCCATCGGCTGCGAAAACTGACCACGCCTCCAGTTGCCGCTCGGATGCATATGGGCCAATGTCTTTTTCGGGGGTGCCCTTTTTGGTGGGTTTGAAGTAAAATCAAAAGGAACACCACATTTTTGGGGGGTCCCCTTATTTTGAGACATACCACAGCCATATTGTGGGCACGGACAACCTGGAATTCCAGTCTTGTGCTCTCTTTCCTTCTCCCAACTCAAGGAAGTTGCCGAGCCCCGCTCAAATCTCAAGTCCGAGGCACCCGCGACAAGTGTGTGGCACGTCAATCGCCACTTTCCTGGGGGTCTCAAGGGCCCACGAAAGTCTTACGATTTTGATCCGCTTGGCAAACTCGGATCGATGCAAGCGGGGCTACTTTTGGGAAGTAGCTTCGCTGAACGTCGCTGCGGCTGAGGCGAAAAAGATCGACCCCAAGCTTCCGCTCTGAGCGACTAGGGAGTAAATCGTGCCTTTCGGGCACTCAATGCGTCTCACGGATCTGGATAGACTTTTGCACAGAGGCGAGTTCGGCCTCACATGCAAGTTGAGTGGGATTGTTGGCAGCCCGTGGCGCGCTTTCCCCACTTAAGCTGCTTTGCAGCAGTCCGATTGCTGGCCGCACACAGGTTGCAGAATTCACAGCCGGCAACGATTTTCTATGCCCAAGAAGAGGAAGTAGAAGTTCGCCGCAGATGCGAGATTGTCAGGTGAAAATAGGCGAGAGGTGAACTTGTGCTGCTTGAGAATCTACAAAATGTTAACATGGCCACATATGCCTTCATGTTCGGTATCGTGTGACCTCCCAGTGTCAAGCATCCCTATTCGGACAAAGCGACCTAGTCAAAGAGGCGATTTTCTTTCGAGAGAAACCACCAAAAGAAGCAGAGACATAGACCCGTTCCCTTCAACAATGTATTTATATAGTAATAACGAACAATTGACATGACATCAATATTGTTGTAAAGTAAGTCTAATGTAAATTCGTAGTTTACGCGCAATAATTGTTTTGTGATCCGTACTACGGCAGTTACCAACAAAACTTCGGCCGGAATGCATGCTGCTTGAGCGATACACTATACATATATATATATATATATCATCATCATTGAGGGGATATGTGTAGGATGATATGCATCGAGAGTGGAAATAGCGATTCGTGCAAACCCCCCTTGCCGCCTGTAGGCCCGAAGTCGCTGTCTAAGCGTCACGCACCAGCCGTGACGCTGTAGTTCTAGTTGCTTGGGCCAACTTGTCACCCGGAATGGAGGACTCGCTGTTCGTAGTGTGCGTTTCAGTTTGCTGAGACTGTTGTGCAGCACCCGATTTGTGCATGTACCTGAATCACAATTGGGCTCTTTCATCAAGGACTTTCTTACTTTGGGGGCCACATCCAGAATGTTTTTTTGGGTCATAGCCCGTGAATGGCAAGCAACACCTCAAAAGCTAATTGCCCAGCAGCGAATGCGTCAGTAAATCGCGGCAGTCATTCGTCATCCCATCGTTCCTTCGGAGCATGGAAGCTGGGCAAAGTTTGAAACAATCTGCCTTAGGTACCCTTGAAAAAACAAAGAGTTGCTTAAGCAATAGGTGGTTAAACATGTTTACAAGTGGGTGGCCCAACCCTGGTAGTGTTCATAATTCGGCTTCAGCAATCATTTGTTGTTCCAGAATGCTATCAAATACGTGGGTCCGGATATTTCTCCATAAGGACGTGTTGTTGAGAGGGGCGCATCAGCGCTATCATGTGAGACAGCCCGTCGCCGCGGAAACAGAACTAAGATGCGAGTTTGCACCAGTGTCTTTCGTCGGGCTGCAGTGTTTTTTTCCTTTTTTTCTTTTTGGTTGTTCTTCGCGTAAACGTCTCATTGATTCATAAGACTGAGAAAGGGCTCGTGATGAAGCCGAGTGGAGCCCTCATAAGGAAGACTTGCGGAACCAGATCGCTCATATTTTTTAGACAAGGACCACTTCCAAAGCAGTGCAGAAACTGGGTGTGTCTTTTTTTTGGGGCACTAGGCACTTGTGGGCTGGATTGAGATGGAAAGTTGGGGTCCCCTGAACAAAGACACACCCACCTGAACAAAATGGATTGTTATCTCCTGATGAGCCCTTCCCATCAGACTTTCACGTACCTTCGAGCCCAGTCTATGTGTTCAGGTCTCAAGCTTAGGTTGGCTTTTGCCCGGCAGGATCCAACAGCCATCATGATCGGAAAAGTGGGGGTGGGTAAGACCACGATCTTCAACAAGGTGGGAGGGGTAATTTGAGCAGGACAGTTAGGATCCCAACCGAGAGAGAGTTTGCATTTGCCGTGAATCGCGTGTGTCCTACTGGTAGTATGTACAGGGGAGGCAGGCGGATCGAGGGATGTGCCCGAAACTAAGACAGCACTTGGCCCTAAACTCTTACCTTGCCGCTAGGTGAAACCGCTGACCCCCCAAAAGAAACCCTGAAGGTTTGCGATGCCAATCGTGATGCCGACATTACAGACGACTCCTGCACGAGGCAGTTTGTGAGCAAGAAGGTCTTCTATGATGGCATGTCTATGGTCTTGTATGATGGGCCAGGTTGCAACAGCAAAGAAGATGCCTACGCACATAGTTTTGTGCTGCGCCACGGTCTGACCTGCGAGCCCCTGAACGGCGTATTTGTCACAGTGGAGTACAACCCACGCATCCGCAACAACATGGGCGGAGATTTCTATGAAGTGGCGAAAATCCTCAAGAAGGAGGCTTACGACCATATTGTGGTACTGGTGACAAAGATGGATCAGTTCCATGCTGACTCAAAGTTTCCTACCCGCGCGAGCATGGAAGCTCACATCCGCAAGAGCTTTCAGGCAGATTATGGAATGAACCGGGTTGTGTTCTCCAACGCAACGTCGAATGCTTGGATGCTTTTTGATGACATGAGGAAAGCAATTGCCAAGCTCCCGAAGGTTCAGCTAAGCTACACAGATGAAGAGTTCATGGAGCACTTCGACCTGAAAGCATGGAAGGGCCGCGAGCAGTTTGATTTGCATCGTCTAAAGAAGCACATCAAGAAGTTGTGTGCACAGTTTGAGGAAGGGCTTCGTCATTTGGTTGCAACTCGACACATGCTTTCACCTCAGGAAGTTCAGGATTACATTTATGCGATCATCCAGCAAAACCGTATGGAACTGGAGGAGAATGTGTACCAGCCCTTCCTCCATCGCAACGGTGAGAATGAGATTGCCTTTGACGACTACGCGGCCAGCATCGAATTGCAGAAGTTGATCCACCGTGCGCATTCTGATTTCCGCAACGAAGCCAAAAGGTACCTACTGGTGAACCCCGACAATACCAACGACTGGCGCAACGCGATTCGTCGATGCCAGCACTGCCGCGAAGTCTGGGTCAAGGTGGAAGGATGTGACGGTGCGACGACGTGTGGAGCGCGTCCAAGCGGGCGTGATGCTTCATCAACAGCCTACTATCGTTTGCTTTGGGAGAGGGTTGAGGGGAAGTTGCGACCTGGCAAGTTCTTGATGAAGCCACAGACCAGCGACACCAAGAAGACTAACGCAGCGGCCAACCAAAAACCAATTGGCTGCGGCAAAAGCATCTCGGTCGCCGAGTGTTTTGTCCAAATTGAGTTTCTCAAGATTTTCCCACTATAGGCCTCCCCCAGATTCTCCCTAAGGACAGTTTCTGAGATGAGATCCCAGACGAAAGGCTGCGTAAGACAGTGGGCAGAGTAGGGCTTGCATGCTGGTTAAGGCGATCTCACCCCAGAAATGATGCTTGAAACTTGATCACGTCTCCCAGGCCCCAAACATTCCCCTGTTTTGAGAAAGATGAATCTGCCTTACCAAGGCATTGTGTGGTCGGACCAGGCAGTTGTACCGCCATGTCAGCTCGACTGCCTGTTCAGCACCCAGCAGTTGGAAAACATCTTGAGCTCCTTCAAGATGGACAAGCAGTTTCAGATGCTCAAGAACCGAAAGGAGAAAGAAATTCAACCTTTTGGGGAGTTGGATGAAAAAGGTCGCGACAAGAAGCAGTATGCCGGGCGATCTGCCAACTTGACAAGTGCTCCTGTTGGTGGCTGCTGAGATTTGCGGTTGGCACACGTAGCTCGTGGAAGTGTGTGACTGGAGGTCACCTTCTGTTCGTGAGGCTTATGGATCCGTTAAGTTCCCAAGTTGGAGTTTCTCAAAAGTGAGATATCGTACGTGACCCCTGTGCTTTCTGGTTGCCAGCGTCAGGAGAAACCCCTCGGTGATAGTGCCGTTAGCAAACCCGAAGACCTTTTAAGTAACCACATGCGTCTAACAGAAAACGACGCTGTGGTTCTCGTCCGCTGCGGTTTGCCACTTGAGAGCATCCGAGGACTTTTTAAGCAACAACATACGTCTAACAACAAACGACGTTGTTGTAACTCTGAAGGCCTCGAAAATCAGGAAGACTTGAACGTTATTGACAGTTAAAATATGTTGATTCTATTATTTTAAATTGAAAAAACAGATATATAATAAAACGAATATTTAATATGTTATTTTGAAAATCTAATTTTAGTATAAAATCGAAATAATAATAAATGAAACGGACATAATTATGTATAATTTTAGTAAACCTTTGCTGGGCACTATTGGCTTTATTTGTTTGAGTATGTTTTTAATAGAATTATGTTTTTATGTATTTATATGAATTGATGTGTAATATTATGGAAAAATGGTATTGTTTTTAATGTGGAATATATTATTTAAAGATTTTTAATTTATTAGTTAAGAATATAATTATTTACATTAATTAAATTATGAAATAAAAGGAATTAATTATTGTTTATATTTTATTTATTTTTTTATTATGTTGATTTATGTATATAATGTGTTATGTTTTTTTTAAATATATAATTTATATTTAATTATTAAAATATATTATTAATATTATGTTTTATATAAATTTTATTAATATAACATAATGTAAATTATATTATGTTGAATTATAATATTTGAATTAATTAAAAATATGTTTAATTTATTTTATTAATATAGTATATATTAGAGAGAATTTGTTAATTTTATTAATGGTAATATTAACAAACCAATGAAAGAGGATAAACAAAGAGAGAAAAAAAAGAGAAAGAGAAAAAAGGAGAGAGGAAAGAGAAAAGGAGAAAGAGAGAGAGAGAAAGAACGAAAAAGAAAGAGAAAGAGGAAACTAAAAAAAGAATAAAAAAAGAAAGAGAAAAAAAAAAAAAAGGAGATAGGCAAATTATCTGTTATTTTGGGAATGATAATAGGGAGAGAGAAAAAGAAAGAAAAAAAAGAGAGAGAAAGAAAGCAAAAAAGAGAAAAGAAAAAAACAGATATAAAGAGAAAGGAAGAGAGAAAAGAGAAAGAGAGAGAGAAAAGAGAAAGAGAGAAAGAAAAAAAAGAAAGAGAGAAGAAAAGAAAGAAAATTTTGTTGGGTCTTTTTTTTTTTTTTCTTTTAAAAAAAAATAATTCTCTTTCTTTTTTGATATTTCTTTTTTTAGAAAGAAAGATTTATGTTAAAAGGAATTGTTGCTGCCGAAGATATTTGAGGTGGAGGCAATGATTGCCCTAAAATACTTCCGATCCCGGGAAAGATTTAGTTGATACCCTAATAAGATTTAGGCAAATTATTTTATGTTTTGTGGATGAGAAAACGATATTAGGAAGAGAAAGAAAAAGAAATAGGGAATATTAGTGTTTCCTTTTTTTTTCTCTCTTTTTCTTTTTTATAGAAAGAAAGGAAAGAAAGAGAGAGAGATTAAAAGAAAGAGAAAGAAAGAAAAAAAGGAGGAAAAAAAAAAAGAAACAAAAGGAGAAAAACAAAGAAAGAAACAAAAGGAGAAAAAGAAAGAGAAAGATAAAAAAAGAAAGAAAAAAAAGAGAGAGAAAAAAGAAAACCAGAGAATCCGTGGTAAGAGGAATTGTTGCTAGCGGAAATTCCCGAGGTGGAGGTAATGACATTTAAAGATATTTACGATTTTGGAAGAAATTAGTCGTTAAGTTAGTAGGACCTAGGCAAATTCTTTTTCATTTTGTGGGCAATAAAGCGGCACAAGAAAGAGAAAGAGAGTTAGAGAGAGAGAAAATACAAGAACGAGAAAATATAAGTTTCTTTTTTTTTTGAAAGAAAAACAAAGAGAAAGAAAAATAAAAAACAAAAAATAGAGAGAAAGAGAGAAACAGAGAAGAAAAAGAGAAAGAAAGAGAGAGAAAGGGAGGTAGGCGAGCGAGACAGCGAGTCAGATAGCCAGTAACCGAATCAACGAGCGAGCCAGCGAGTCAACGAAAAAGAACAATATTAGAAATAATTCAAATGAAAAGAAAACTAGAACGAAAAGAAGGACATAGAATTTAAAAGGAGGCCAATGCAATATAATGTAATATAATATAATGTATATATATATATAATGTATATATATATATAGGTAAGTAGGTATATATATAATGCATATATATATATATATATGTATATAAATATATATATATGTTTAAGTGTAATATATATATATATATTTAAGTGTAATATATATATATGAAATGTATGTGTAGATGCATACATGCATATATGTATTTCCCGCAAGAAATATGGTTTTCCTAACGTTTTCGCAAAAAGGACATTTAAAAATATTGAATTTTTCCAGATTTTCGATAAAAAAATATAGGAATCCTAAGCCAATAAAAAAGCGGCAGGGGGGACCTCTGGTTTACGACACTAATTCCCCGAAGATTGTATTTAATAAAACATCATCAATTTGTCGCACGGTACGTAAAAAACCCCTCCCCCCCGTCAAAAGAAAAACCATATATAATAAATATCGAGGAGTTTTAATAATATTACTTATAATTAAAAATTTAAAAATTTCATATTAAACATTAAATAAATAAAAGCGATAAAGAAACAAATTAGCATATATAATCATATATAAAAATAAATAAAAAAAAATAAAAATTATAATATAAATAAATATAAATATATAAAAATATATTAAGAGATATAAAAAACAAAAATGCAAAATATAGTATATCTCTCGATTTATTTTATTCAAAATTATATTTTCGTGAATTTATATTTAATTTAGTAATATTTATTATATTTTATTTGTATTTTTGATTTTCTATTTGCTTATGCCTTGTTTTACGAGCCTATTATTATATATATAGACATATTATTATATTATATTATATATATAACATATATTTATTACATACATACATACATACATACATACAAACATACATACACACACACACACACACACATACATACATACATACATACATACATACATACATACATACATACATACATACATACATACATACATACATACATACATACATACATACATACATACATACATACATACATTACATACATACATGCATACATTACATTACATTACATTACATTACATTACATTACATTACATTACATTACATTACATTACATTACATTACATTACATTACATTACATTACATTACATTACATTACATTACATTACATTACATTACATATACATACATACATACATACATACATACATACATACATTACATTACATTACATACATACATACATACATTACATACATACATACATACATACATACATACATACATACATTATCATACATTACATTACATTACATTACATTACATTACATTACATTACATTACATTACATTACATTACATTACATTACATTACATTACATTACATTACATTACATTACATTACATTACATTACATTACATTACATTACATTACATACGTACATACATACGTACATACATACATACATACATACATTCCATACATACATTACATACATACATACATTACATTACATTACACTACATTCATACATACATACATACATACATACATATACATACATATACATACATATACATACATTACGTACATACATACATACATACATACGTACATACATACGTACATACATGCATACACACATACATTACATTACATTACATTGCATTACATTACATTACATTACATTACATCACATACATACGTACATACATACATACATACATACATTCCATACATACATACATACATTACATACATACATACATTACATTACATTACATTACATTACATTACATTACATTACATTACATGACATGACATGACATGACATGACATGACATGACATTACATTACATTACATTACATACATACACTACATTACATTACATTACATTATATTACATTACATTACATTACATTACATTACATTACATTACATTACATTACATTACATTACATTACATTACATAAATACATACATACTTACTTACGTACTTACTTACTTACTTGCTTACATACATACATACATACATACATACATACATTACATTACATTACATACATACATACATACATACATACATACATACATACATGCATACATACATACATACATTACATACATACATACATACATACATACATACATTACATTACATTACATTACATTACATTACATTACATTACATTACATTACATTACATTTACATTACATTACATTACATTACATACATACATTACATTACATTACATTACATTACATTACATTACATTACATTACATTACATTACATTACATACATACATACAGTACAGTACAGTACATACATACATACATACATACATACATACATACATACATACATACATACATACATACATACATACATACATACATACATACATACATACATACATACATGCATACATACTTATGTACATGCATGCATACATACGAGAGAGGGAGATTGGGGAGAGAGAGGCTTGGGGGGATGGGGAGGATGGGAGCAGAGGGAGGGAGAGAGGACGACAGAACACACAAGGGAGACAAGGAAGAGAGGAAGAAGGAGAAAAGGGAGAGGACAATGTCGGCGGACTGAGCCGGAGGCTCTAAAGTTAATTTTAATGTTTAATCATTTTTAAAAATAAATTATCAAATATTATATCGAATATAACCATATGTATGCAAAATATTGTGGAATATTTGTATATTTGTATATGGGTTGTTTGATCCCATAGTCATCGATATAAAGGTAGTGTTAAGGATATTCATTTCCATATTTCAAAATATTTTTGTTTTTTTCAATGTCATTGAGACACGTGTATTTGGCTTATGTCGACTGCCCAATTTCCAAGTGTTGGCGTACAGCATCGTCATTCGGAATCCGAGGTGCGTACATCATGAGGATGCTGCTCCACACAGCCAAGGAGAAGTAAACAGACATCCAAAGCCAGTCATTCTGCCTTGGCTGGAATTAGGACCCCAGCACAATACAATATTTTTAGCCCGGTAGTGGAAAACAAAGGGAACCCCAAAAAAGGAAAAAAAACAACAAAAACAAAAAAGAAAGAAGGGGAACTAATTCTGGGGAAGCTGCCAATAGCGCCATTCGGTCTGAGGCTCCCGGTGTTGGGCAGCGTCTCTGATGCCAGGCCAAAGATGCAAATATTGACGATGCGCCGCTTCATCCTTCTGCCACCTGGCCAACGCACTTGGATTGTTCGATTCGCCGAGTTAGCAAGTATCTAGCTATAAGCCCCCAATAACAAGTTTAGCCCACTTAGGGAGACTTATAGGTGGTTTATAGGCTAGTTGCCAACAACATACCAACTAGGGACCGCGATGGCACTTAGGATTTCCCACATGCGCCAACTCATCCTCATGCCCCAAATCCCAAGTTCCTACAAGGCTGATTTCCCCTAACGCCTCTGGTAGTACATGGGTATGTTGGAGAGGATCATGTAAGGGCAGTAGATAAAGCCCTGGAGGCAGAGCACAGCCAGGAACCGCTTGCAGGCGGGCGCCCGGAATCGGCTCATGGGACACAGAAGGCTCGCCGCCGCCAAAGAGCCCAGGGCGAAGAGGAGGCACCAGCAACTGGCCTCCAGCACCTCATACCACACGTTGGTGGTGAAGGTGCCTCCGAAACAGGTTGCGCTGCCACTTTGAAGTGAACCAGCTTGAATATAGAGGATACATATATATATATATATAAATAAATAACAAAACAAAATATAAATATACATATATATATATATATATATACACATGCTCATTGAATAACGGCCTGCTCCATGTTTTAACTTCTGAGGCCCAAAGTATTCATGTGCTCCAGCATTTGGAGCCCGAGATACTTTTCAACATCGGGGGAGATCCCATCCCGGGAATGGTCTTGGAATGGTCTTCAATGTTCAACCGGTGTGTAGGTTAAAACATATTTGTGTGTGGCTCAAAATTATGGGGTGCGCAGGTCTTAGTCTTTGGTTCCATTTACCAAGGTGCCAGTTTAGTACATGGTTTGGAGCCACAGCCATTTGAACCATGCTTAGAACGTCTTAGAAAGAGGACCGAACCGAACAACCTTTTGGCTTCCCTTTCCACCCCCGAAAAAGGGGACGGCCTCCAAGAACCTCCCCCCCCTCCCTTCCCTTCGGCGGCCTAGGAAGGAGCAGGTCTCTCCACACAGAGCGAGAAGCGCCATGAGAATGCTGCAGCACTCCACAACGCACTTCCCCAAACACGGCCGCGCTGAGTGCATCTTCAAGTCCTGGGCGTTTCTTTTTGCCCCACCTGAAAGCTTTGTGGTCTCAGCCCAGATAGGCTCTGGGGTGGTCCGGGGCGGCCCTGAGGTAAGGCTCTACGAGGGTTCCACCAGGGTTTTATCAGGGTTCCACCAGGGTTCCACGAGGTTCTGCGAAGGCTGTGGGGTGGTGCGAGCACTAAAAAGAGCACGGCATGCTGTTGGGGATATCACCTGAGCTTAACTTTTTTCCGACCGTTCTGCACGCTCAGTCGAAGGAACAGGCACTTTGAGATGAATTTCCTCTTGGTGGGGTGATGTTTAAGGGGGAAATATAGAAGCCCTCATACGGGCGACACCGATTGAATGGAGGCTTTAAACTTTGCATTGCACCGCAGACGTTTCATGCAAATGTTGCTTCAACGCAAGCATACATGATCACCATGGCGCTGGCCATGATAGGCTCCACAGTCAACCGGAACTTCGGAACAAACGTGTGCACAGTCCAGTCCGCAGCCCCTCTTCTTCTCTTGCTTCCAAGGCAGTCTGCCAGTCCCAAAATCTGGCTGCAGGACCTGCCTTTTCCTGCTGAGCCTTCTGCATCCAGACCTGGGGGGGTCTACCAAGAGCCTCCAGGACTATGAACGCGTGGGTCAAAACCAGCTGTGGGAACCAGGAACAAGGGCTGACGATCGCGTGCCTCAGTTCCTTGGTACTTAGTCCCTGTCACCTAAGACCTGCTTACACTCTCAGAAGCATCAGTGGTTCTTGCCAAGCTGCAGTGGCAAGCTGCTCGAGGATGAGGCAAATCTGGAGCACCCAGCAAACTTCACCCACTGCAGCAAGACTCCGATCCAATAGGATTGCATTCAGCGGTGTGTCAAAAAGCACCTGCCGCTCGTTGTAGAGGCACGGGAAAACACTCCGCCAAGCACACTCCTGAGCGAGGGGCCATATCATGGGCCGAAAATGATGTTTAGAAGAATGGACGGTCGTTCACTAGCTCCGTTTTGTGGAACCAAACAATCAGCAACACAAAGCTGTACTGATGGTCCGCAGGCATCGAAGAGGAAGGGTAGGCAAAGCATCTTCAGCACCCGCTGGTAGCGCTTGTGTTCAACATCACGCGCTCGCTTGGACCGATTTACATGCCTGAAGAGGAGGAGGTTCAAAAACGCGATGGCGACCATTGAGCCCCACCATAGCCAGGTCCTCCCTGGCAGCTTCACAGCAATCTGCATGGCTGTGGCGTCGCGCTGGGCAAGAAAAGCTGCTGCTTGGCGCGTCGGGGTTCATCACTGCCGTTTTTGCCACCGGCATGAGTTCACAAACCTCACGCTTGCAAGTTCCCGGGAGATGTTTGTCGCATCCAAACCGTCCAACGGGCCATCGCGCGCTCCAACCTACCAGCCGTCGCTCTTTTTGCATCTCACACCTCTGCCTCCTTGCGTTAATTTCCCTATGAAAATGCAGCTTTGTGCCGGCAACTGGGCCCAAAGAGAAGCCGAAGAACACAAGCCCTTTTGGTCAAGAGCTCGGATTCGCGGTGTTTTTCGCGCTCGTGATCTTGTGACGAGCGATGCGCGACCCGAACAGGTCGGCGGAAGACGTGCATTCATCAAGGAGAAGTCCTGAAAGCTTGAACGGGTGGAAGCTTGGGAAAAAGGCCGAAACAAGCTCGCAGACAGCCCTACCTACCCGATAGAAAATATTAACATGGTGGTCGTGCAGCAAAATCCCAGGAGTGCCGGAGCTGCAATGACCGCCATGCTGGCGTCAAGCCTCAAGCTGCTCACCGGCGGCGCTGGCAGGCTACTGGCCACCAAATCTGACATCTTTTCAGATGCTAACTCCTTCTCTTTGCACAGCGTGATGATGTACCTCGGCTCTAGCTCCATCTCTCATGTCTGTGTTGTTATTTGTTTTGTCGCTTGTGTGTGTGTAAAAGTGTGTGTGTGTGTGTGTGTGTGTGTGTGTGTGTGTGTGTGTGTGTGTGTGTGTGTGTGTGTGTGTGTGTGTGTGTGTGTGTGTGTGTGTGTGTGTGTGTGTGTGTGTGTGTGTGTGTGTGTGTGTGTGTGTGTGTGTGTGTGTGTGTGTGTGTGTGTGTGTGTGTGTGTGTGTGTGTGTGTGTGTGTGTGTGTGTGTGTGTGTGTGTGTGTGTGTGTGTGTGTGTGTGTGTGTGTGTGTGTGTCTGTGTGTGTGTCTGTGTGTGTGTGTGTGTGTGTGTGTGTGTGTGTGTGTGTGTGTGTGTGTGTGTGTGTGTGTGTGTGTGTGTGTGTGTGTGTGTGTGTGTGTGTGTGTGTGTGTGTGTGTGTGTGTGTTTTCCCGGTGAAGTCATGCCTGCGAACTTGTTGCTATGAGACCGGCCAGCTTAGGCCTTCAAGGTTCGCATTCGCTTTCGCCGGAGGCGCTCTGCTGAGTTGACTTCGCTTCCTTCTCGGCTCTTCAGACTCTGGCACGTGAAAGTGGAGGACTCGTCGTCGAAGGCATAAGTGTAAGCGGTCGGACAGCCCTTCCTGAGACGGTGACAGGTTGAAGCTTCACGCGTGGCTTGGAGGCTAGCGGCTGGCTTCCCATTTCGCGAATCAGGGGGCTCAAATCCCCAAACCACCAATTAAGGATTATCTGAAGGGATGCTTGCAGTGAAACGACTTTGGTAAGGCAGCCCGGAGCAGCCGCTTCCAAGCAGCTGCTCCAAAGCAACGTGCAAACCGAAAAAGGGCGAAGAGACAATAAGCAATCGCGATGCGAACTCGCAAGTTGCAACACTTACGCGACAGTTACACAGTTGTACGTGCAGTTGATCCAAGCAGAAACGTTGCAAACAAGAAACGCTGGAGAAGAAGCAAGCTCCTTGCACGGTGTCCGTCCCCAGCCCCGTTTTTTCCAAGGTGCTTCAGGATCTCCAGGAAGGGCAGGGCGTGCTGCAGCCACCGGGGGTCGCTTCCCTGGCACCCCTCGTGGGACTTGGGCACGCTGGTGCCCAGCAACTCCTCCCACTCCCCGCAGCCGCAGCAGCCACTGGGGTGGGGGCCTTTGGCATAGCCTCGTCTCGAACACGTCAGACACCACCAGAACCCCCCCCACATGTCATCGTGTGGCACAGCACTGCGTGGGAAGCAGACCACTCTTTGTTGCCGCTGATTTTTTAAGGCCCAAGGCCAACGAACATCAAAGATCCAACACAAACCAAGAACAAGGCCATCCAACAACCAGCCCACATCCCAGACAATCAACAGCACTCCACAGATCGCAGTGCCCTTCACCTTGGCCTGCCAAAGAAGACCGGCTCTTCCAAGTGGCAGGCAGCGCTGGACACCCAATTTCACAAACAACATACCAAATCCCCAGCAACCACAATAACACCAAGCCAACTTGGTTTCGAGGGATAAAATGGTCCGATCCCAGTGGCAGGTGGTGGTCCACGGCGCAGGGCCGGCGCAGGCGAACATCTGGTGGTGCGCCGGGCAGTCGATGAGGCCCTCGAAGGGTGCCGGGCCTGGGGTGCCGAGTGGAGCCCTCTGCTAGGCTTTGCGTGGCTCCTGATTCACGGAACTATTTCACCATGATCTACAACGTCACCCCCTTGGTAGGTTGAAGAAGGGCATGGGCCCATTTTCTGACTTTGATAACCTCCAGAAACCATCAACACAATGACAGAACGTGCTACCTGCGGGTGGTTTTCGTGGGGTTGAACCTGAGAAAATGGTGCCTGAATATGGATCAGGGCATTTCAAGCCAGCTCTTCCGCCCAGGCCTGCCCTGCATGTGTTGCAAACAGGAACCATGAAACCGTTCATGCCTCGACCGGAATTGCCGAACACAAACCCCCAAATACCTTCCTACACAACAAACGCACACACAAACAACAAAAACTAAAGTAAAACAAACAAACAAACAAACAAAACACACAAGCAAAGAAACACACACACAAACAAGCAAACAAACAAGCAAGCAAGCAAATAAACAAACAAACAAACAAACAAACAAACAAACAAACAAACAAACAAACAAACAAACAAACAAACAAACAAACAAACAAACAAACAAACAAACAAACAAACAAACAAAACAACAAAACACACAAACAATGAAACAGAAACAAAAACAAAACAAAAACACACAGACAAACAAAACACACAAAAACTAGACCACGGTTGGCCCGAAAGCAGAACATCGCAAGCGAGGTCGGCCCAACGCTGCAGGATGCGTTCTTTTTCCCTACACGTCGTGAAGCAAGCGCGAGACAGCACCAGGCAAGGTGCTCTGCGCAAACTGGTCGGTGCAAGTTGGTCTGCGCAAGTTGCTCTACGCAAGTTGCACTGTGCAAGTTGCTCTGCGCAAGTTGCTCCGCGCAAGTTGCTCCGGCAAGTTGGTCCCTGCAAGTGGCTCCCTGCAAGTTGCTCTGTGCAAATTGCGCTCCCTGCAAGTTGCTCTGTGCAAGCTGCTCTGTGCAAGTTGCTCTGTGCAAGTTGCTCTGCGTAAGTTGCTCTGCGCAAGTTGCTCTAGGCAAGGCGCTCTGCGCAAACTGGTCGGTGCAAGTTGGTCTGCGCAAGTTGCTCTGTGCAACTGCTCTGCCGTTGCTCTGCGCAAGTGCTGTAAAATGCCGTGCATCTCGGTGACGATCGCCTGCGACTCAGGGAGGAATCGAACCCGCGACCCGCCGGTTCCGGGATAGCGCGCGAACCACGAGACAACTCCTGAGACCGTCTGAACAACAAAATCGTGCTTTTGCACCCCGATCACGCCGATCCCCGCAGAGTGGTCGGCGGCGATGTCGGAAACGCAAAACCAGCGGGTTTTTGCAATTGACCACGCCGATTCCCGCAGAGGGTTGCGCGAGCACCGCAGAAATCGCAAAAAACCATGGGTTTTTGCACCTCGACCACGCCGATCCCTGCAGAGGGTCGCGCGAGCAGGTTAGAAATCGCAAAAAAACCATGGGTTTTTGCACCTCGACCACGCCGATCCCCGCAGAGGGTCGCGCGAGCAGGTTAGAAATCGCAAAAAACCATGGGTTTTTGCACCTCGATCACGCCGATCCCCGCAGAGGGTCGATTTTCGTGTAGTGTCGTCGTCGGCACTACCCCGCCGCCCTAAGAAGAGATTTTAACTCCTCGCAAGTCAATTGCACTTGACTCCTTGCACTTGCAACTTGCACTTGACTCCTTGCACTTGCAACTTGCACTTGACTCCATGCACTTGCAACTTGCACCTGACTCCTTGCACTTGCAACTTGCACTTGGCTCCTTGCACTTGCAAATCCTGTAATTTCGACCTTACGGCCTGCAAATGCATCTCATGACTTTTGTACGACTCAGGAATGACTCCTTGCAATGACTCCTTGCAATGACTCCTTGCAATCACTCCTTGCAATGACTTCTTGCAATGACTCCTTGCAATGACTCCTTGCAATGACTCCTTGCAAGGACTCCTTGCAATGACTCCTTGCAATGACTCCTTGCAATGACTCCTTGCAATGACTCCTTGCAATGACTCCTTGCAATGACTCCTTGCAATGACTCCTTGCAATGACTCCTTGCATTGACTTTATGATGATGATTCCTTGCAATGACACCTTGTAATGACTCTCATGAGAACAACTCAAGTGAACCCAGCGGAAGAACCCTTCGCCATGCTTTCGGGAAAAACAACCAACCAAACAAACAAACAAACAAACAAACAAACAAACAAACAAACAAAACAAAACAAACACAACAAAACCAAACCAAACCAAACCAACCAACCAACCAACCAACAAACCACGCAACAAAACAAAACAAAACAAAACAAACAAACAAAACAAAACAAACAAACAAACAAAACAAACCAAAACCAGACCAAACCAAGCCAAACCAAAGCAAACCAAACAAACAAACCAACCAACAAACAAACAAAAACAAAACAAAACAAAACAAACAAATAAAACAAACCAAAGCAAAGCAAACAAACCAACCAACCAACAAACAAACAAACAAAATCAAAACAAAGCAAACCAAACAAAACAAAACGAACAAACAAAAAACAAAACAAACAAACCAACCAACCAACAAACAAACAAACAAAACAAAACAAACACACAAACAAGCAAAACAAACCAAAACAAACAAACAAACAAAAAAAAACAAAACAAACAAACAAACAAACAAAACAAAACAAACAAAAAGACAAACAAACAAACAAAACAAAACAAACAAAACAAAACAAACAAACAAGCACAAAAACAAAGCAAACAAACCAACAAACAAGCAAACAAACAAATAAACAAAACACACAAACAATGAAACAAAAACAAAAACAACACAAAAACACACAAACAAACAAAACACACAAAACACAACCAACCAACCAAACAAACAAACAAACAAACAAAACAAGTAAAACAACACAAACCAACATACAAATAAAACAACACAAAACAAAACAACACACAAAACAAACAACCAGACAAAACAAAGCAACAAACAAACAAACAAACAAACAAACAAACAAGCAAACAAACAACCAGCCACCTTTCTTACACAAACAAACAAAAACGCGGTATCCCCAACAACGCCCGGATCCTTTCGGCACAGCCCGGAGCTGCTCCGAACCGCTCCGGGCCCAAAAAAAACGGACGCGTGGCTTTCTTGAGGGTCCGTTTTTTGTTTGTTTCCCGGTTCGTTTAAAGGGAAAGTTCAAAGGAACATAGTTATTCACAGGGAACTTCAAAGGAACATAGGGAAATTCACAGGACAGTTCAAAGGAACATTTTTTAAGGTTAGTTGGAAGGGGAAATCAAAGGAAACCCAGCATTTTGAGGGTTCCTCTCTCTATATATATATATATATATATTTGACACAGGCCACAGCCCTCTCTCGGCCCATCAGCCATGAGCCCGGAGTACGCCGGGCCACTCACATAGGTATTGCCGCTCCAAACGCAGAGTTGGTAGGCAGACCAGAGCCCAATCTGCGAGCCGCACTCCATCCGAATCTCAGTGGTCGGCTGGGGGTGCTGAGTGACAGGATTCACCACGCGCACGCCCACCTGCCCGCACACGTCTCTCTCCCCGCACTCTGCGGAGGAATTGCACGGCACGCCGTTGCCATCGACTTGTCTCAGCAAAGGCCCCAGGTCTAAGCCATCGCGGACCGGCTGGAAGTCCCACGGACCTCACGAGGCTCAGTTCATGGGGGCCCCTTTCCAAACAGATCACAGAAGCGCGCCCTTGGCAGCCATGTAACCTGGCAACACACCCTACCCTACACTTCTTCCATGTAAGCCCTGTGGGCAACAAGACCACCTGCACGGAGGCTCTTTGATTTCCCCCAGTGCATTCAGTCCTCAAGGCCGCTTTCATGAAGATCAGTCTTGCCGAGTTGCAGGAGGAAAGCCTGCCGTCCTCTTGCCGGAAGGCGCCCGCAGCGCCGCAGCTGTAGCCCTTGTGGCTACCCGCGGCTTCCTCCGTGACTCGCGCGAACTGGCCGTTGGGCTTCATCTCTATGGGCACGTTGAAGCCGTTGATGACGGAGACGTCGTAGAAGTCGGGCCCATGCGGCACCAAGGTGAACTCCACCGCAGTGGCCACCCCGTTCAGGCCCTGGTAGGGGGGGCAGAAGTCCCGGTCGTTGCAGAAGGCTGAGGGGATGGATCCTCGGTGGCTTTCTGCTCCCCTGCCAAAAACACTCAAAACCTTTAATGGTTTTTTAATGGGGAAAACCCATCCATTAGTTGGCAAAAAAGGTAAAAAGTCCTCACATCCCTCGGCCAAACGCAAACCAAAGGATCCCTTGTCTTCCGTGTGGTTGGGGTAGAACTCCATTTTGCCGCTCCAGTCGGCCAGCACCCCGTTGCCCTGACGCACCGCTTCGTTGGGCGTGTACATCGTGAGCCGCTCCCCGGGCGCGATGGTCCAGTCCTCGCCGGGCCGCTCGAAGTCGAAGTAGCACTCATGGCTGTGGGGGCTGCAAGTCATCCCTTCCGGACACCCGGAGGAACCACCTCGGTGAAAAAGCAAGCAAGCGTCAAAACAAAACAACAACAAAAATAAATGGCGAGTGAAAACGCCTTTTGCCCCCGGCACGGAAAAAGCCGAACCCAAAAAGATGGCAGCAGTCCAACTCCGTCTGGACCCCCGTTTTTGCCTTTTTGTTTCTTCAAATGTCCCCACCAAGCGCTTCCTGGCCGCAAGCAATTTGCGAGTTCCCCCCCGTGGGCGCGATGATCATCGGCCGGTCACAGGCATTGACGACATCAATCCGGCGATGGCCCGAGGCCGCCGCCAGCGGGAGGAGCAGAGCGAGCCATCGACACATCGGCCGATTCTTTTTTTGCCACGCCACGCTGGGTGGTTGTGGAAATAGTGAGATTGCTTGGCTTGCGAAATGAAGATTAGTTGGCACCCAATCAGCTCCAAGCTTGTGAACAAAATCTGGCGACCAGCTGAGGGCTGAGGGTGTCTGTCATGGCTCCAGTCGTGCATTCCAATGCTCGCGCTTGAGTCTCATGAACGCAAGCCCTAAGTGCCTCTCAAGTCCTAGAATTGTGCACTAAGATAAACCAGGGACATGGCCAAGCTGTTGCAAACTGATGTCAAGCAAACCGGCCGGCTGCTCCAGCAAGCTGCATCAAGCTGCTAGCATGGCACGCTTCTAGTAGTTGAGCACATTTCAAAATAGGTAATACCCCCATTCAAATCAACCTGGACCCCCTCCCCCAAAAAAACATCCAAACTTCAGAAATCAGACTTCACCTCACAGAGCAGCTACCCTCATTTTCCACGGGCGCGGTGTTCGCTGCCACCTATGAGTGAAAACTGCTGGAGGGCTGCTGGCCTCTGAGTTAAGTCTGGCTGCATACGTAAGGTGGCCAGCTTTGGCCATTGGATGTTGCTGATTGGACCTGGCTGGCAAAGCCAATGAATTAAACCTCTAGTGTTGCCTTCCTCATTCTTTCCAGGGATCCTTCTTTCTAGAAAGCATCCGGAATCCCAGGGAAACGGCCGGTTTTTTGAAAAGAACTATGGTTGAAAAGAATGGGGAATCAACCGTTAGAAAACCTGCCTGATAGATTGAAGTGAATGGGGTCGGTTCATCGTGGCCTTCCCGGCTCGCGCGCATCTCATCGAGCAGTGAACAGCGCGACCGGCTCCTGTGAGTCAGTTCCAGTGTCAAAAAGTACTCTAGGTCAACTGGTTGGGTGGTTGGCTGGTCGCTTGATTTGGGGAATACCCTCCCAAGCGGGTGTTGGACATAAACCCCAATGTACATGATGTCCGCCAAAGGGTCCCTGATCAAAATTGACACCAATTTGGGTGGGTCATTTTTAGGGGACCCCAAAAATACAATTTGTCCTGTTGGTTTCCCTTTAAAAAATAAAACCACCAAAACCTCACCAAAAGAGGGGTACCACCCAAAAAACATGCGCAAACCTAAACCTCACGCGGCGCCATGCGCCTAACATCGCGCTCCTGTTGGACTTCATGAGACCGAAAGCGGTGGTACCAATCGAGAGCTGCCCCCTCCACCGGCATGTTACCTTAGGCCGCGTTGGAAGGCCGCAAGCATTCGGATCTCCACCCCTAGAGGAAGCCAGAAGGGGATTTTTTCCAGAGGTCATAGGGGTAGGGGATAGCTTCACCCCTAAATCTAAAGGAAGCCAGAAGTTGTTTTTTGTTCCAAAGGTCATAGGGATTAGCTTCCCCGAACGGGACTTTGGGACAAGAACGGGTGCCCAAAGGCCTGTCTGCTCTTTGGCGGCATTTTGCCCAGGTTGGGCCGTGGACTGCCGAACTTAAGGGAAAGCTGGAACTCTCCACTCGCAAAAAACCGCCGCGGTCGTGTCACCTGAGTTTGTCGTGTCACCACAGCCACTGCCTGGCAGATCCAAGTCCCGGACTCGCCTTGCCAGCAGGGGGTAGAGTGTCCCTTGCCTGGCAACGCGCATCCGCGCAGGAATGCTCCCTGAGTCACCTCGTTGGCTTCTGACACCATCAGAAGCTCTCCCACACTATGTTAGCGTCCGTGGAGAAAGGAAATCGGTACAGACTCGCGAGGTGTGATATCAACAGCTTGCAAGAGGAGATGCGCTCCGTTGCTACCAGTGTTGTTTTTCAGTGCTTGCATAGTGTGCAGGGTGCATTCCACGCAAGCACAAGTTTGCAGCGATCAAACAACCTGACTGGGTATAATTATGAATCGACCATCCACGAAACTGCCAAATCGCTCAACCAAGACAACCAGCTTCATGTTCACTGCCGGTGCAGTTGGAACTTGCCAAGCTTCGCTGGCAAACCCGGGCTGCTATCGAAACCTCTCCTTGGAGCTGTTCAGGTGCACCCGCTTGGCGGAGGCAGGATCCTTGGATGTCGAAATGGTGTCAGCTACTGACCCATCAAGGAGCAAGCAAATGGTGGTAGTTCTTAACATCTCGGCAAGCTATACACCCAAGCCAGGTTGATGGCACGTTACCGCTGCAAGTGCAGTTTGGGGCTACATCTACCGTTGTGCCAGTGGCTTTCTCGGCAAACAACCGCAGATATCACTCACGCTTGACGGTTCAAGAATCGAGTCCTGCCCCAAGAACCACACTGTTAAGAGACACAAACGTTGCAAACTGTTACAATGGCAAACATGAAAAAAAAGTTGAACCAAAACGCCAGGGGTTCTTCGCGCACGGGTTTCAATTCAACGAGAACAGAGTGGAGAACACAGGGGTCCAAGCTCACGTGGGTGCGGCAGACATTAGTATGCGCTTATTTTCGGAGCGGTTTCCGAGAATACACGAATGGATCTATAATATACTTATAACAATGTACATATATACACACTTCAAAGGGAGTGTAACAGAACATCATGTTTGCACAGGCAAGCAAGTCGACATAATGGATGCCTCGAGCCAATCCCACACCCCCAGTCAGGTTGTTGCCATGCTTCTGCGTGCTCTTTCGCGTCCAAATGCCTCAGTGGCAACGGATCCATGTCATGAAGCATGCCCTAAGTACTCTCAGTCAGCTGAAAGCAATGCCCCAGATGCGTCAGCAGCATGAACTGTCAGTGCTCGGAATCGCCGGCCCTTGTTAGAGTCTGCCGTTCTGGGGAAGCTGCCAGCGTGTGTGATGGAAGGTGTCCGTGTACCTGATTGGCGCCAGAACAAGGATGATGCATTTCAAGTTCATCAAAGAGACACTCCGAATGGTGAGGTTGTTTTGCCCGTGCTATAAATGGATCTATAATACTTGCAAATCCTGATAAGATAAAACTATTAATCTCATGTAACTTCTCCATGTGATGATTTCCAAGATCAACCAATTGTAAGGAAGCAAAGAACCACATTGATAAGTGTAATATAAAGTAACATGTAATATAAAAATGCGATGCTGTGAGATATAAAAATGAATGAAGACAACTCTATTGGCCAATACTTACATTGGAGAAGATTCCGTGAGAAAGGGATCTGTGAGCTGGTGAATAGCGTCCACCAGCAGTCTCTACCTCATGGTCTATCTCTTTGGGACACTGCCGGAAGTTCCAAGTAAGAGAGATGTAGGAAGGTATGCACGGGATCGCTTCACTCCATCTTGTTTCTCGTTCTATTTCTCTCGCATTCATTGACAGGTTGCACTGCAAGATAGGTGGACCAGCTCGTTTTGCTGCAAAACCTGCCCCTCGTGGGCTCTACCCGCCAAAAAATGCTTCGAGGCCAACTCTCTTCGAAGTGATTTCGGGCTGACTGGTCCCCATCCACTGCCAGCATGCCCCCCCCCCGGCCAGCATCCTTCAGATTTCAGATGCCGTCCTTAATGTTGACCCCATATTGATCAGCCCCAGTTTACTAATAGGAATTTGTCCCTGGTGAAATGTGTGGAATCAGACCACTTTTCGAGGGGCCCCAACCCCCCTATTACTAAACTGGGGGTGCAAAGTCTCTGGGGTCCACATCACAACCCGGGCATTTCCATACCCCCAGGCACTTCATCTCCGGACAGCGCTTAGTGCGAGCATCGCAGAAGCGCTCCTCCCTCTCCTGCCAACTCTCCAGAGCAGATCCCCGGACTGCGCAATAGGGCCATCTTGAAAAGCCCCGACCATGTTGGACTCGTTGACATGTGCTCATGTTTATTAAAAGAAAAAGCCATAGATATGATATCCATCACCCACAAGCGGCATCCCCATCACCGTGGGTTGCTCTTCCCTCCCTGAACAGAACAGGTTTAACCTTTTCCGTAGGAGAAGCCATTTCATGTCCACAAGGTCTAACGGGCCTTCGGGGTCAAAGTCGATAGATGGCGTTTTTCTGTGCACCGTCTTTTGGTTGGATTTTAAGGGAGAGCCCAACAAACTGAAAACCACCCATGTTGTGGGGTCCGATTCCCAGACAACGACACACCCAGGCTGTCACCAAATCGATCGCAGCGCAACTCTGTCGCCTCGTTGGCACCTCTGAGGGAGTCCCAGGGCTGCTGGAGTGGTCCCCGGCCCGGAGCTCCGTTCCTGAGAACAAAAAAGCAAAAAGCTGGCCACATTCGGCAGGCGCGGAAGAAAATAGCCATCACTCGATTTGGTGGCCTTGAGTGGTGGGTTGGTTAGGCGGGCTCGTTTTGTTTATATATATATATATGCATATATACCCAACAAGAACCAGAGGTTCAACTCCACATCCAAGCCGCGTACTTGGGCATACCAGGTGTCATTGCTTGTGTCAAATAGATTCCTTCAGGGACAATCCTGTCAGGGTCCGAAGCACTCTTATAAGCTCCTGTTCGGAAGTGGGTCACTTTCCTAAGGAAGCAGACCTGCGTCGGAAGCCTTTTGGAACCATGGGGATGCGGAACAGTGCCCTGCCAGCAAAGAAGCGGGCAGGGACAGAGAGGGGGAGGTGAAGCCAGCTTCCACTGCCAAGCTGAACAGCCACCCCAATCTGAAGCTCCCTTACAGCAACTGATGGAAGTGCACATCTCGGTTTGTGCTTGTCATGCGGAGTGAGCAAACTAACTGGGCACCCGGGCGCAGCCCAGCCGCCCCACTCCGAGCCGAAGGGAGGCTGGCGCAAGTGGAACCCTTGGGGTGTGGGTCCCTCGACCAGAGCTGAGCCTGTTGCCGCGTTCGTACAGGACGATTTTCTTAGAACATGGAATTGTGTTGCCATGCGCACGTTGTGCTCAAGTAAAATGACATAAAGATAAACCAGATCGTCCACGGCCAAGGCGCCAAACAACCAAAAACCCACCAAAAGCAAGTGCGCAGCACTCTGAAGCTTCCCTGTGTCCATGGACACCTTTCCTGGCTCGAGTCTTGGCAGACTTGGCTTGATCCGGGATCCCATTCCACCCTGGGTGCGCCTTGCACAGG